CACTGATAGAAAAATTTAAAAGCGATGATGGAAATATCGTTGCATATTTCTTCCCATCAAATGTAATAGCAGCCAGAAAATTATAATTCATGTCTTAAATGCATCAAAACATTTAACAGAAGTTTATTCTTAATGGTTTATATTTCATATTAAATCTTTCGAATTAAGGAAAAATAGTTATTTCTGATAATATTTCAACAAAATTTGTGGGACTTGCACGTATTTTATGTGCAAATTACTGATTTTAACACATTAATTTATATATGTCTCAAATGCTCCAGAATCAGAAATGAACCACTCCCTGTTCTAGAATAATCAAATTCGTACTACTTATGTTAACCTTGATTTCCTTTTCGAATATCAAGAAAATGATTCATATTGATAAGAAGTTATTATTAGAAGTTAAGTTAATGATAAGAATGGGTTCTTCAAAGTATTATTAATTTTAAGAGATGATGAAAAAATGAAATCAACTCAGAAAATAAGCGGCAAATTGGACAAAGTATATTAAGCAAATAGAAAATTATTTCGGAAATAAATTATCCTTTGCTCAAAAACACCTAAATAGCCAGGACCTAAAAAAGTAAAGCGAAATTCTTTCCAATGGTTTAAAGTATCCATAATTTTTATAGTTGAACCCAACCAATTTGCTTTTTTACATTCTCTCTTATATATTTCTGGCTTATATGTGAAAAATGTCATTAATAAGAATTTCTAACGAAACTCCTAAAATTGTTCTTTGCTTTTTTAGTGCTGTTAGTTTGCATCTTTTGATTATATAATGCATTTTCATTTTTTTCTATTTATTTATGCTTGTTTCTTGTATTTTGACGGTTGGTTCCGTTGGATGCCATTTCAATATACATATGTGTATGGGTAATACTATGCTTAGACATCTTAATTTCGCAAAAATCTTAATTTTATTTTCGCTTCAGCGAAATTAAGTTATTTTTTCCATACAAAATTCAATTTTAAGGTTAGAACGAAATTAAGGAAAAAGGCCTTAATTTCGTTGAAATGAAAACTGAAATTAACGGACGTTTCAAATGCAACTATGCGAAAGATAAATTTAAAGCAAAAGATAAGTTGAGATAACGATAAGATGACATTAATTTTTAAAGTCAGCTGACTTTAATAAAACCGATAAATTATTTTAAAATTAGTGCAAATTTTGATTTGAATATGGAGAGAAAACTGTGACTGTTATTAGTTTAAAATAGTGTGAAAAATCATAATTCACATATCTCAAATCCATTAAAGCTAATAAAACTACTGAATACCATAATCTATAGATATAATAAACTTTTAAAATTTTCCGGATAGAAATGGTGTTTAGAGATATGGTGTTTAATTTGCAGTATGAACACTTTCGAAATTAACTTAATTTCATTTTTACGAAATTAAGGAAATTTGACTGTCTGAACATAGTATTAAGCTGTGCTCGGATGGTATGCGTAAGTGAAGTAAGAGGGATTACTTCATACTTAGTAGAAATTAAATTAAATTTAATATAATATAAGGAATATTGTATTGGAACACAAATATTGTTACAAGTTAACCTATTTTAAAATGAGTATGTTCACTATTTTGGAACTAATAAATGTAAATTTCTTTTATTCAATAGTATAGTATCGAGAATATTGCCTTTTGTATTTTTATTTAGAATTATTTACTTTTAAAAGTACGCAATGTAATCCATACTATTTTAAAATTCAAATTTAGTTTTTTCTGCATCAGAATGCAATCAACTAGGATTGCAATGGAGATGTGTATTGGTTACTAGCTTTCTATGTCTCTTAAATCTCTCTTAAATCATTAAACTCACATTCTCCAAAATCCTACTTTAAAATGTTTCTATTATTATTCAATCAAATTATAGGTGATTTGTTCTTCAAAAGCAAAAATTGAATGGAATTGGGTATTTCAAATAAAAATACTCGTATTCCTTGATATGAAAATGTGTTTGGAAAAACAATAGTGATCAGTAAATGGTATGTGTTACGTATTATAACGGATAACTGGCAATTGAAAATATTCGAACAAAGTTGAAATTGTTTTGCATATGAAGTGCTTGAATGCATTGCAATTTTGCAAACAAACTTAAATTCAAGAAGTCCCAGCAATATTAGATACTTGAAATGCTTACTGAAATTTAAAAAAACTGAAAAAGAAATTTTGAAATGAAATTTTATTTAACTGAATTGATTTTCTGCTGTATATCCCACATGGAATGCTGTACATATTTTTTTAATACTGAGGTAGTAACTTTTTTTGATATCAAAGCATCACATTTATTATCAGAGGCTCGCCATACCATACCTAGAGGTTAAATGTATCGAATTACATTTTTATTGCTAGATTTGCACTGATAAGTTAAATATATCTGAAGAATATTTGTACCATATATGAATGTGTTAATTGTTCCTGTCACTCATAAAATATAAAGACAATTGCTAAACAGACTGAAATGTAAGCCATTTTCATAAATAAATGTTAGTGTTTGTAATAATGTATTCGTATGTGTGTATGTCATATTAGTGTATCTCTTACAATAATATAATTTTGAAAATTTAAACGTATTTTCGCCCAAAATTAATTTAATACTCAGTACACAGATGTTTTTCAATTAGAATGAAAAAAATTACATCATAGAAAATTAGATTTTTTGGTGATATATTCTATAGTGCATATAGTGTATATTCTATAGTATTCTATAGTGACATTATTAAATGCTTTCTAAATATCACTATTTTTCAAAGTGGATATTTAATCGGTTATCCCGATTTATTAAATTGTATCAAATGTATAATGTTCTGATGTGAACTATATAAATAAATATTTATATTAAAGGTTTTGATAATGAACATGTTATGAAGGTATTGTGGTTATGAGGAAGTAGTATTATTAAATTACTATTCCTTTTGAATTTTTTTTTATTAAATTGCTTTAATAATTTGGTTAATTGGAAACGCGAAGTAAAGCTTGACTAATCATAAAACAGCAGTTAATTTTTTATAGTATTGAGATATTTCTTTTAAAAGAAATATTTAAAAATATGCTTCCCAAAAGCAGTCAAGATGGAGATATTAAATGGAAAACTTAATGACAATGAGTTGATATTCCACCGTCATCGCGGGATGGGATTCAATTTGTATTTATTATGGATTTCGACGGAATCTTAGGCATGTGAAAAAAAAGTTTAAATACCAAACACAATTGCTTATAATTGCCTTGAAAGGATTTTCGATATTCCAGACCGAATTTTATTGTCTAGATTTAAAGAAGCTCATCCAAAGCTCATCCAGTGAAGTATTGCATTGATGCAGATACAATATTAATTAAAAAAGAAGTCCTTGAACTGGGCTTAAATGTCATAGATAATTAAATATCAAGATAATTGTAAGTATTCAGCAATTATCTTGGATACTGAAATAAATCAGTACGATGGATTCCTCGATTTTTAGATATTGCTCAAAAGAGAAGCTTACGTATTTTACACAGTATTTTCTGCAAAAAATTTAAAATTGAAAGTCCAAGAACTTTAATGAAATTGTAAATGATGTTGAGTCTTAGTTCAACAAGTACGATTTTAAAATAACGCGAGAGTTTACGGTGAGAAACCTGGAATCTGCTTATCTACCCATTACAGACAAGCTACAGAACTAAGAAACAAAAGTAATGATGCAAATTTACCTTACTGTACGAAAAGTTGTCGGTAGTATTCCTCTAAAGACTAGAAAGAAGGTAATACTAAGTGGAACATTAAAATCTGCTTATCAACAATTTTTGAAAATTTGTTAGGAAACCAAGAAGAAAGTGGCTGCATCGTTTCGTTCCACGTTATGATAACGCTCCTGATCACACTAGAGAACGCATTTAGCTTGTTCGATAGAAAAACGAATAACTCCAATACGTTCTCAGGAATTTAAGACATTCGTAACTCCGAGAAGAACCGTCGGCAACAGTTAGTCAATAATTGATGCAGTTAATCTCAGAATTGCGAATCTAAACCAAATATCCGATGTCAAGGATTATTTTAGAAATTGCATCTAGTGTTTTCAGAAATGTATAAAAATTAATGGAGTTTATTTTAAAACAAATTAAAACTGATGAATATTGAAGTTGTATTAATAAAATTGTAATTGTTCCTTCTTTTGTGTGCCGATTGAGCAAACTTCTGCTATTTTACTTCCTTGTATATGGTCTTAAATCACAATAAATCCAGTACGTTCAACACACACCAATTAGACTGAGAGTTATAAAGAGCTAAGTCTGAGATGAATAAACCTAATGAATGCAAAATTCTTGTACAACCTATCTATTATATGTAATAAATATATTATTAAGATTTGATAGCAACAACAAATACATTACTTTCATTACAACTGATATCAATATTTTTAAATGATACTAATGACATTAAACGTGTTAGCTTTATAGTTAAATTAGATTATTAATTTAAATTAGTTAATTTAGTTTAGCTTATTTTAAGTTTAATAATGCATTATTATATCCTCTATACAGTCCGTTTTATTGCAAATCAAATATTTGTCATTTATAAATTAATTTTAATCTCAGATATATTTACAAAACTATTTTCATAAAAAATCTTTTAAAAATATTATGGTCATAAAATATTTTTGTAGCGATATTTAAGAAATAAAAAACAAAACCTAGTTGCTATGTACTATAATATATAATGTCTGTTTGTCTAAAGTATTTGCTTACCTGATAAATACTGAGAGTGCAAAATCATGTTCTGCTCTGAAAAGTGTTTTTGAAACGCTGCCTAGTCGGAGTGTGATTTAGGTAATTGAAATTAAATATGCATTACAAAATTTATTATGAAATTCATATAAAATAAATATAAATCCATTTATATATAAAACAAATAATAAGAGCTAATCAGTAAAATTACACTACTGATAAGGTTTGAGATACGTAAGAAAACTGCACTTATAAAAACACGGACAATATTTTGAATAGTTTCTGTAGCAATAATAGCTTTTAACTACACACATCAGGAACTTCTTAAATAGTATAAATTTTTTAAACAAATTAATTTAATTTAATATTGTACAACATAATGATAATTTGTTAAAATAAATATTAATAAGATTATAAAGTCTAAGTAAAATTTAAAATAAAATCTATATAACACAAAAATTAATAAAATTAATTTAATATAAATTTTTTATTAAATTGTTAATTCTTAATAAATTATAATACATTTCTTAGTTAGTTTCATTAATTAAAAATAATGGCAGACGGTCATGATATGCCATCGTGGCTGGATGAGAAGTTCTTTGAAAATATGCTTCGGAAACGTGAAGCATCAAACGAAATAAAAGTAAATAAATATTTTAAGTACAGATAATAAAAATAAAAAATTAATACAAATATATATAAAAAGTTGCTCTAAATATTTAACTCGCAGTGTTGTCTCATTAGATTATAGATTTATCTGTCACAACGGGGACAGCTAAAAGTGATCATTACGCTAGTATTATGTTTCGTGCTAAAGTGAAGTATATGAGTACGCCTCCTAATGCCATTACTGGAGTACAAAAAGAACAATCGATGATTATAAAAACTACGCCTATAACTGAAGGACCCAAAAAGGAAGCATTTACTAAAACCAAACTTTTTGAAACTGAAATTGGCATGTATTCTGAAACTTTGCCTAACTTTGAAAGGATTTTAATGGAACACGATGATGCAACTAAATTGTGTGCTGAGTAAGTGAAGATAATTTAAGCTCAGCTCGATTTAATTTTTTTCTCTAAATGTGGAACTAATAGTGGTACTAATTGCTTTGAGATACATGTGGTTTAGTAAATCTATTACATGTTGTATATATATCAATCTTTTTTCCTGAATGAAATTCAACAAAAAGCATAAGAAAGGAATGAGCTCATGAGTTGTCAATTTGATTTGATATTGAATTTGATGAGATTTTATCATAACAAGCGGTGTTTGAAATCTTGATAGGAATATTTGAAACTTTGCTTTGAAAGGATTTTGTAAAGGTTTCTGTATTAAAACTTGCACTTAAGTTTGTTTTTGAAAGTATGATATACAACACAATAGAAATAAATTTAGTGACAGTGGAAAATTTGTTGAAGTTTAGCAGGAAACATTAAATCAGACATCATTTAAACACAATACTGGTTTGAAATGGGATCAATTTATCGTTCAAGAACCATAAAGTTCATCCCATGCAAGCCCTCATATATAAACCAGAACAGATTAATAGATCTGAACATTAAAGCGAAGATATTTCAAGCACTTCATATTATATATAATTTCAATTACTTTGAATGAGATGCTTTGATCCTTTTATGTATGTAAGCTACGGTTTTATGAAATTTATTGATTAGAACTAGATTTTTAGTGAAACAAGACTTATCAGAAACTTTTAACAGATATTTTTCTCATGGTAGGAATGATTTTATTCATATGTTATAATATTTAAGTTGAATTAAGTTGATAAGTTGAATTAAAAGTAACACAATAAAAGAAATTATTGAGAATTTATTTGTTTAAGTTCCATTTCACTTTTTATATCTTCTATAACTACCATCAATATTCCCTATATATTAGTGAAGTTATTTCAAAACAAAACCGTTCAATTTTTAGAATGCTTTACCACTCTCTAGAACCACATAAATGTGTTATATTTGAAGACTTAACTATAAATGGTTATACTACAATTACCAATGGTTGGTGTAGTTTGGAGGAAGTAAAAATGGGACTTCTTAAGCTCGCCAAAATACATGCCATTAGCTACAAATTACATAATGAGGCAAGTAACTATTGTCGTACATAATACATTGGTATTTAAATTTAAACTAATGTTCAGGGAGACGTTTCCCTCAGTTCATACAAGTATGGCTCATTTAATACAATGGATATTAATGAATTCAATTTAACAAAAAACTCCATAAAACTATTCAAAGAAGTTCTACAGCAATATGAAGACCTACAACTTTATTTGCCTCATGTTGTGAAAATAGAGCACAGTCTTCACAAAGGAATGTATAATTTGTTTGACGCCTATTTTCGAGGAGACAAAACTGGGATCTTTGTCTTGACCCACGGTGACTTGCATATGAAAAATGCTATGTACAAGCGCGATCAGTTCAATAAAAATAAACTTGGAGATGTTCTATTGGTAACTATTTTATTTCTTGTATAAATTAAATAAACTCATTCAATTTAAAGTCTTACTTCCTAAACATATTTTCAGATTGATTTTCAGCTGAGTGTCTTTGGCAGTGTTGCAATTGATTTGTTTTTCTTTTTCGTCGCTTTTTTTAGTCCGGATATGCGTCTGAATAAACGCGATGAGTTGTTCAATTATTATTTTAAAAATTTCCGAGAAACACTTGAGCAATTAAATTTTAATGGAAAAGTACCAACGTTACTAGATTTACATATGGAATTAAAAAAACATAGACATGCAGGTAGGTCTAGAACATAGTTTCAATCAAACAAGCAACTTTCTCATAAGCTAAAGGTATCAAAAACGAGACACAATGTGTGGGTCTTCTTCTGAAAGCACACTTTTTACAGAAGAACTAAAAAATATTTGAATAAGAATGTGTTTTTTATTTTCAGAGATTTTTATGTTCATGACCCTAACAGTGATGCAACATGCTTTCAGCACAAATGAAGACATAGATAGAATATTTGAAGATGAAGTTTTCAGGCGAAGCATCCAAAGAAGGCCCGAGTATTTGCAGGAGCTACGCTCGCTTTTGCCGATGTATTTACATAAAGGTTATTTTGAGCCTTAATGAATAAGACTATATAAAGTAATTATTATTTGGTTTAAGTATTATTAAATATTTACAAAATTGTGAACAATACATTACAAAGTCAAGTAGTAATATTTATTGTAGTTTGAAGAGTTAATATATTAAAAATATGGGTACTCGTAGTGAGTGGGAGCTTCTAAAGTACTTCATGTCATCCAACTTGTTTAATTTAATTAAATTTGCCAATATTATTGTATAATATTGCAAAAAATCTTATCTTAAAAGATGTTTAATTTACTAGTAAGAAAAATCAGTTAAATAATATATTAGTAGTATATTTCTTCTATATAATATCTAGTGTTTAGTTCTTATAATTTCATCTGTTGAAGTTTGTATTTGTTGCATCTGTAATTATTTCGTGCCGAAACTTCAAAGTATAATTTGTGTACGTATTTTGGTACGTAAAACCTCCAGAAATTCGAGGTTGCTGCTTACCAACCAAGTACCATGTGGAGACTTCTGACTCTACTGATTCTTTTAAACTAAGATCTTTGTGGGACCATAACATTGTACGCGAGATATCTTTCCATGGAACGGAATATATAAAGTACTAATGATTATCTACTTTCGCATTATAAATTTAAGTCTGAAGATGAAAAGCCATCAAATTTGTTTTAATTGTTCCGAGTGTAATAAGTGCTTAATTCTGTGTACATTAACTCACCATTTGCATTCCTAAGTGAATCCAATTGTTGTATCATTAATGGAAGATATATGTTAATGCTCAATGGAATATATAATAAAAATAGTTTTGTCTAAATATCAATTTTGGTTTGCGTATAGATATCACATGGTTTTATAAATATAGACTGTACGTTCTGCAAATTGTTTTCTATATTGGTTGAGACCACAACATTGGCATAATGATAGTCCTTTACAAAATATAGAGTTAGTTTGAAATAAATCATATTAACCTCGATTACATTTTTACAAATCTAATCTTTACGGAAGTTTTCTGTTGTCGCCGTAATAAATTTTAGCGTCTACTTCTATATTTGTCAACCTTCTCAAGTGAAATAATATAAATTTCAAATTTGTACTGTAATATATTTTTATTATCTGACAGAAAATATTAGTTCTCTTACGTGATTCATATTGAACTATTGTTTAATCAATGACAGTAGCGTAGTGAGTATAACTGCCACACAATGCGTTAAAACTTTTTGACGTACCTTTTAATATATTGTAATTTACAAAATATAAATATGCTGTTCATTCGGAATATATTGGTGCCCTTCTGCGATTGGCTTTCGGGCCATGATAGATACCTTGCCTCACGTCACCTAATTACGGATTTAGTGGTAGAAAACTGTGTAATTTTACGTATATTGTGAAATTTAATATAACAAACTCTTTATATTTATTACCTTCACACTCAATTAAAACAAAAACAAATTCAAAACAAATCTTAACAACCTGTTACTCTGCCAAGACATAGAAATAGGTCATATTTATATTTTAAGAGAAATTGTTTTACTTGTTGATAACAATTTGTGTTATCTGACATAACGAAATTGTTGTTAATTAATAATTGATATTAGTTTCGAAAAATACCAAACAGAATTTTGTATCCGTATACGTCACATATCGCAACGTTCTTCCACTTACTAAAAAGTACTCATCATAATTAGTAAGAGATGCAATATTAATATTGAACATTTTTAGCATGTATAAAGATATACATGGAGCTACAAATTTGCATTTTGTTTTGGGCAAACACACATTACTATAAAAAATTCACTTTATTCACTTCATTAATTTTAATTTATTAATTAGGCATCAGTACAATTATCTTAATTTTTAAAGCTTTCAAAAATATATAGATCTTCAATTGTTGATTTTTGGGTATTTATCCATAACCGAAGTAAGATTCGATATCGTCTCTACTATTTAATAAATTCAAATGCACAAGGTCCCATTAACACTATATCTGTTTATTGGTCAAATTATGGATTATTTTGTTTCGATTTCGTAGCAGTATTTTGTTCAAAACAAGATCGCTGATCTTAACAGTAATCAATTCCTTTTAAAATATTTGAGTTGCAATTCACATGATCAATTTAAAGTCCAATTAAGAAACTTAGCTTCAAACCTGCGTTAGTACTGCAAATTGCAGTAGACTGTTGACTTTGTCGAACGTAATGCATTTCATTGTATCCTAACTATATTCTGATGTTAGTCTTTACAAAGAGACTGTTTTACTCAAAAACGCAATTATAGGTATATAAAACTAATTACTCACATATTTAAACTTCGAAGTATTTACATTATAGATCAAAAAACACATTTTCATTATTCCATAACAATCTATAAAAACTAGTAAAGAGCCTTGATGACAGAAGCTCTGTTTTAATTGAAAACTGTAATCGAAACCTTAATGTTATAATAACTGTGAAGTATCTTTAAAATAATTCTATCTTAGAGAAAATCTCTTATTAAGCTAAAAAGATTTTGGATATTAACTTTGGTGATGTTTACTTAATTTGGTGATGTTGACTTAACGAAATATAAGCTTCCTACAACAGCAGTAAGGCTACACCAGCTTCTTTCACGACAATCTTAGCGTACAGGATGAACGTCATCAAAGCTGCGACCTAACCTCTACACGATAGCGGTAGCCAGGGTAGCCAGTACACTCGTCACGATAGTCGTTATTGCCAACGTATCGTGTTGAGGTACTCCATAAGTAATCTCGCCGTCACCATTTCGTCAACGTTTTATGAGATTTATCGCAATATTATTATCTCTATGTCGCCTAACTAAATAGTTAAATTAATTAGTGCTGGGTATTGTTGATGGTTATTATGCTGTATTATAATATACCTATATTATATTATGATTATAAATTATATAATCAATATCGATTTTGATAACATTTTCTGGATATTAAAAGTGCAAAGAAGCGTTAGAGCTTTAGGTAAAAATGCAATGAAAATACAGAACTAATATTTTATTTTATTATTTATATTTTATTAAATGTTTCAATACTGCATAATTTTAGTCAAGTTTTAGTATATACCATTATCTAAAGTGTTTGATAACGTACGAATAGTGAGTTGACATTTTTTAATAAGGCACGCCGCGTATCGTATGCTGTTAAGATTAAACTTATTGTTATATGTACAGTATTATTACAAATCAAATAGATAAAAAACTTTTATTTTACAGTATACGTTTTTCTATATTGCAACTACTTATTGTACTTATATAATATATTCCATTGATTTTAAATTACTCTACTATGAAACTTTAAAAAAACCTTCTTCTGAATATTGAGACAACAAATGATGCACTTCTTCCAGAAAAGCAGGATTGCTGTATAAGGACTTGCGAAAGTCTCTTGAACCCATTGCCTTTTCCAAACAAAAGCTTTTGTCTAGCCATACATAACGAACTGGTAAGCACATAGCAAAAATAAAAAATTCTATAACAAAAGGAAATAATCAAAGTAAAATGTTTAGTGCAAAATAAAAACACATATATAGAAAAAAAGAGAGACTTACCAAGATGCTTGTGCTTTAAAAACAAGGCTCTAATATCACTTAATTCGGGAAGAGTGCCACCAAAACCAACCTTACTTAAGATTGACTTGAAATGACTATAATACAGATGGAGTAACTCATCGAAGCGTTTAAAACGTTGTTCACGTGATAACATCATATAGAATGCATTGCTTAAATCAACTACTATAGGACCAACAAAACTCATTTGAAAGTCCAAGAATAGTGCGTTCTCCAAATTTCTTTGATTTGTATGATTCTTAAACATCATGTTTTTAAAATGAAAGTCTCCATGACACAGCACGTATATACCATCTTTTTGTGGATTTTCACGATATTCATCACATGTTTTACGACAATTTTCCATCATATCTTTTTGTAATGTCTCAAAAAATGGTTTGTATTGGTTCAACGAAGGCACTTCGTCTAGCATTTCTATAACCAATGGTATGGAATCGGTCATAAAATCATTTTGACACATTTTTGGTTGATTCATGACACAGTAACGAAAAGTGTCAAATAGTTCTGGTTCCTAAAACAGAGAGAGATTTTGTTCAATTTTAACTAAAGTGATACTATAGCATGTATAATTTTAAATTTAACCTTTTCAAGTAGAAAATAACTAATTCCATGAAACAAAGCCAATTTTCTAAAGACTTCTTTTACTTCCTCCATATTAACATCGCGTTCACGTAGTATACTGTAACCAAGAGGTACAAGATCTTCCAAAATTATGAACTGTTTTGGATTTAAGCCCCAATGTAAACACCTGTAAGGAAAAATTTTTTAAAGGAAATAATAAAAAAAAAAATAATTAATATACATATATATTAAAAATTAAAATTAATATGCAGATATGTTAAAAATTAAAATTAAAAAAATATACTATACATATCAAAATTGGTTAATTAGGTTTACGTTTTTACTGAGAAAGGTTTTTACTTTTAGAATGCAATATATGAAATATTGATTTTGTGTAGGTTGTATTTTTCATTGTATTGTGAGGCAATATTTTGCCTTCTAATATGAAATAAGCGTCTTAATTAGAGTACTACAATTGTTGTTGTGTTCAGATCTATTGGACTTAAATTGAACTAAAACTACTGCAGTAAAAATAAGTTTACTGGTACCATAGATTAGGTTAGGCCGCGCTGGTAACTTTCAACACCAACACAAGTGACATACGTCAATAATTTTTTATGTACTTATATCAATTGCTTCAATTAACTAGTTGGTAAGTGAGGCATAGAAACTTACTATTAATCACATCATCAACATTAGTACCAAATGTCAATCTACTTACAGTCACATAGAAACCTTCTGTTTCAAGATAAAAAATAACCAACCCAACTTACTTGGGTCCAAATGTTGTGTCATCACCAACGGAGCGTAGAATACTTTCAAATTTTGGTAAAATTTTAGTGTAAATACCAATTTCAGTTTCAAAAATTCTAGTGTCGCCAAGAAAATCTTTTTTATCCCCCTCCATTTCAGGCATGGTCTTAATAATCATAGACTTAACATTCTGCACACCTGCCAAATTGTACTCTACTTTGGCTCGGAACATAACACTGGCATAATGATCGCCCTTCAGAGTCCCCGGAGTTAATTCAAAATTATTAATTTCAACGTCGTCTACTTTCTCACAATTCTGTAGAACGGTTTTAAAAAATTCCCTATTTAACCACTCCGGTGCGACCAATTCATCTTCACTGTAAATTTCTGTTGACGTCATAATAATTGCGGCTTTTTTTTACACGTGTACTTTAAAAAAAAACAAACGCCGATACCCCCTCGAGTGAACGAAATTCACCGGCAGACTAACGAATTTCTTACACATAATTTTGTTTTTATATATTATGCCACAATTCTCTCATATACTTCCTATCTAAAATTATAAACAAACGCCAATGGAAATAAATTACATGTGTGTTAGGTGTTGTGAAATTCATACTTAAGTATGGTAAACCGAAAACAAAATAAAAACAAAAAATTATTTTAAACAAACAAAAACTCAAAACAAACCGAAGCAACCTGTTTTGCTACTTTACACACATAATTGTTTGTATAGTGATGGGAATTGCTGCTCTCACTGAGAGCGGCACTACACTTGTGGTGCTCAACTTATTCAGTTTGCTCATTTTATGAAATTGTTTATAAATTAACAGCTGATGGCGTTTCAAAGCAAAAAAGAAGAAAAAACAAGATTTTGTTTACTTGTTAATAGCAAATGCTGATGTGTGAACACCCACAAAAAATTATTAATAGTAAAATCTAAAATAAATTGTTTAAAGAACATTTTTTGCACGCATAAAGAGATGGTTGTGTTGATTATTGAGCGATGTTAAGTTGTGACTGGATAAAAACTTTTTATTATTAAATAATATTTAATACCTTGGATTAAGTCTACTTATTATATATATTTAATTTTATTTTTTTTTATGTTAAAATAATTTATTATTTCTTTAGATTTGTGAATTCTAAATAGAGTTCTCAAGTCAAGAGGTACTTAAGATTTGGATCAACTTTTGGTTGAAGGTTTAGTATTTTTTAAAGTTTTTAGTTTTAATCTTCACTTGAAAGCTTCATCGAGGGTTTATACTTCAATGACATTGCTTAAATAATAGTCAAATAAAAAATGATCCAATTAGTTAAAGAACTTACAATCTGTATTATCTCGATAAGACTTGTGAGAAACAAACTTTAAGAGATGGGGGCATGTGATATGATATACATTTTCTTTATGAATAAAACTTGTATTTCAAGACAGTTACAAAAAAATAAAAATACAACAAATATACGAAGACAATAACTTATTTTATAGAACCGTGTTAAGATATTTGAAGACGAGAAATAAGTTATAGTTCTTGCGTTAATGTTATCATTAGCTGATTGGTAATTCTAGCTGGGTTATTTTTCTAGCGAATCTAAAATCTAAAACAAATAAATGGGGCGGTGTGAAATCATTATCTTTTGTCTAACTTATATCCACATTTCGTAAAAATATCGACAGTTTTATTTTATTACCATTTTAATAAAAATCAATTTTTCTATTAGTTATATTCTTCAACTCTTTTCGAAAGAAATGATTTAATGTGACTTATTATCGATTAGTAAGACCGATTTCCGCACATATATATGCATGCATACTTATTCAAAGTTTAAAAATGCATTTTATTTTATTTCCACAGTTAATTGGGACTTATTGTAAATATAATCATTTCTACTGAATTATATTACCTTGTACCGTATATCGAAAGTAACGAAAATTAATTCGAAAACAGATTTTTTATAAATTTATGGTAGTATATATTATTTATTTATAATATCAAAATATATTTATAAATTTATTCGAAAATAGTGTCTTTTAATTTGACTTACTAATTTCAAAATTTCGATTGTTTAATGTCAATGGTTTAATTAATGTGATTGCTAGTTATGGGATTATGAAAAGCTACACCCCATGCACTATTCTCTAAACTCAGAAACTACATACATTGTAGTTTAGATTTTGAATAAATTCTTAAATTAATTTTTGGTTTAGGTGGTATTCTACATGCTTTTGAGACGAACAAATAGATAAGCATATCCATATTGCTTCGGTGATCTAGTATCGTTGTACTGGCATTGTTATCTGAAAGTATTATATACGACTCGAAATGGTCTTTATCATACACAAGCAAGTAAAACATAAATTGCATTTCAGCAAACGTTGCAATAAAGTCTGTATAAAATGTTAAAAACATATTTAAAAAGGGTACTTTGAAGTACTTCAACCTTGTAATTGCATATTTTTGTTTAAAACATTTGCTACTCGCATTTGGAAAATATTCGTGACGAAGCCAGAGAGCACCTAACAGTTCAGAACATTTGCAAAAAACCGGTCGATTGTCAATGTCTTGCATTTGGTATCAGTAAATAAAAATAATCTCTGTATTTTTTATAAAAGCAATTAAACTGATTCAGCAAAGATAGTCGACAGTAACTCATAAAAGTGCAATGAAATTGTGCATATTTCAGACCACATGAATTATTTGGTATTTTGATATTCTTTTTTTAGAAATCGCAATATCCTAATATATTGATTTTTTAACTTAAATTTTTGACTATATTTTAATATTGAACATAATAATGTTAGTAAGCAAATTTCAGTATTGCTTTGTACAATCACAAAAATATTTCATTATAATATTTTTATAAGTAACTTTAGCTTATTGTTAATTTGACTTCAACACTGAAATATTTGAAAACTATTTTTGTAATAAACAAATTAGTATTATTCAATACGATAATAAAAGTTATCGTATTAAATTAAAAAACGTTAGTGAAAGTCATTCTTGGTTTGCAAATTTATATAAAAGTCCAGTGTAATTACTGCCATGAAGAGACAACAGTACGGTACTCTTAACACGCATTTCGGTATAACGCGGAAAACGAGTCAATACTTTTCTGCCCAAACTGCGGCTTTCTGTAATAGACGGAAATCCGAAAGCTCTCTTAGGCTGTTTTTGAGGTCAATATAAAGAAATCTTTCTGGATAAATACAAAGCAATAGGTCGACTTAGTGTAGCCTATATTACCCCAGTACAGGCCCCACAATGGAAAGTTATCCAATCTTGTTAAAATGCAGTTTTGCTATTAAGAAGCGTATTGAATGACTATCCTCATGCAGAATATAAAATACTTTAATATAGTAAGCTATATTAATATAATAATATAATTAACTATTGTCTAAACGAGATTTAATTGTGTGCCACACAAATGCGTGGAGTCTCGATTAGGATGCATCCGACGATCCGTTTCATCGTATTTAGAATATATCGGTGTCCATTGCAATCGTTTAAGGTCGAATACAAACGACCAACGATTTTATCCTTTTGATACCATGGTTACACAACGATAAAGTTTTTTAATAAACCTCCGTCTGATGTCTCCAGAAAAAAGCGTTGTCTTTTTTAAACAATAAGAATCATGCTAGCCCTATTCATATCAATACCTTCGTTCTCAATGTGTGCCCTAACTTCAGTTAAACTCTTCAAGATCTGATCCATCTATTCTTATCGCTTTATGTGCCCACCAATTTGAGTTTTATTGATCTGTGAGTCTGAGCCATTAAAGTAACTCAGTTTCTACGTCTCGATCCAGACTAGTTTTAATTAAAACATATACATCCCACACCGATTCCGTCCCACAATCAATCGCTTTCATCGTTCTAACCTCTTACAACTTAACCAACCCATGTATACGGATTAATTGCATATATATGCTCTGCTATATAGATTTGCTCGTGCGAGTACAGCAATATTCTTTCAAGGATCGATTAGGTAAAGTCCCATAAAAAAAATTAGTAAAATATTGCTAATATATTTTATTTGCTCAGTAAATGCATTTTATTATAGTGTTGCAATATTTCTTAAAACAAATTATTACTTTAAAAATAATTGTTAAAAAGTGCAATTATATTAAGTCCTCAAAATATCCTCGGTGTAACAATTTGGGTAGCAAATGCTGAAGTTCTTCTATGTATCCTTTATCATTGTATAATGTTTTGCGATATTCTCTTGAACTCATAAGCTTTTCTGCATCCAAGGTTTTACTTAGTAATCCGTAACACATTGGTAAAAAGCTAGACAGCAAAAAAAATCCTGAAATCAAATTAAAATGTTTAAAAAAATTAACAATGTTTTTAAATAAAATTAAAGTTACCCAAATATTTGTGCTTTAAAAACATGGCTTTGACTTCAGCATATTTAGGTATAGTGCAATGAAAATCAATTTTTTCCAGAGTAGCTTTAAAATAATTGTAGTATAAATGGAACAATTCCTCAAAATGATGCATGCGTTGCTCTCTGGAGCAAGCCATGTAAAATGTATTGTACAAATCTGTGGCTGTGGTTCCCACGTGGCAAAGTTGAAAATCAAGTATAAGTATATCTTCTAGTTTCATATCGATGGGATTGTGTTTAAACATCAAATTTTTGTAATTAAAATCGCCATGACATAAAACATATATACTATCATTCTGCCGATTTTCACGAAATTCATCATATGTTTGACGACATTTCTTGAACAAATTTTTTTGAATTGCCTCAAAATAAGGCTTGTACATACGTAGTGAAGGTGTTTCATTTAACATTTCAATAAATATTGCTATACCGTCTGTCATCAGCTCACTGTCGCAAATTGCTGACTGATTCATTAAACCATACTTAAGATTGTCAAAGAGTTCTGGTTCCTGAAAAAAGCATTAAAACATTTTATCAATGATTTACAAATATTTTTCTTGTACGAACTTTTATATTGAGTGAATAGCCAATAGCATGAAAAACGCCTAATTTTCGCATAATTTCTCTTATTTCTTCCATATTAACTTCCCGATCACGTTGCACAGTATATCCAAGCGGCACGAGGTCTTCAAAAACTATGCACTTTTTAGGATGCAAACTAAAGTATAAACAGCTAAAAAGATAGTTCATATTTAGAAATTAAACAATTAATAAAATATCTTTTGGGTACACTTTTGGGTATAAATGGAACCGACAAACAAGAAGCATCAATGTATATGCAAAGATTATGTACAAAAAAATCAAAAATTTGTCAGCAATCAGCATTAATGCGAATAATATCTCAATAAAAAAACGAGATTACTTAAGAATAGAACATTTTAATTACCTAACATATGTAAGTATGTAAATGGCACTAAAGATTTTTTCAAAAAGTTCTTTAACTCAGTATATGATATATTCACTTAAAACTCTCGAGTTTACTTTGTAAACTTTTTACAAACAACAATCAATATTCTAAAATAATCTTATTCGTATTCTCATACAATTTTTTTCCGTAGTAATAACAATAGTACTTATACATCTTTACACAAAGTTTTATTAAGTTATACGATATGAACCATCTTCCTTATACTTACTTCGGTCCAATTTTTGTGCTATCTCCTATGGACCGTAAAATACTTTCAAATTTTGGCAAGACTTTAGTGTAAAGAGTTACTTCAGTTTCAAAGATATGTGTTTCCATCAACATATCTTTTTTTGCTCCTTCCATTTCAGGCATTATTTTTATAATTAAAGATCGCTTTTTCTGCAAACCCTGAATCTTGTAATCCACATTTGCTCTGAATATTACACTGGCAAAATGATCGCCCTTGACAGTGCCTGGAGTGAGTTTAAATTTACACACCTCCACTTTCGTCACATTTTCACAACTTTGTAATACTGCTTCGAAAAAATCGATGTTGACCCACTCCGGTGGTACTAGTTCATCTTCATGAAAACTTTCCGTTGTCGAAGTCATAATGGGTAATGCACGTGTACTCGAACTCTTTCGAAAATAATTTTTTTAGATTGGTACTGTACAAGAGAACTTCTGTAGAACTCTGAATGCTTTCGAACGATTCTTTATATATTTTATATTTTATATTACATGCAGTTCATATCAGTTGTTCTCTCATATCTGAAATGTCTGAGTATCTATAAGTACAAATAAACTGCACGTGTTTACGAATGTTGTGAAATACGTTTTTAAGCAAAACAAACGCAAACTCAAAACAAAACTGAGGAAAATAAGTTTGTTCTACAGTCTAAGAAAAATGTTAGTAATTAATTCATAAAAAAAACGTTACGTTTTTTATTTAAAATTTTGAGCCATGAGGAACAATAACTACATGTATTACATTTTTTTGGGTTATAATTTTTTATTGCAATTGGAGAAGATATTCTAACTAAATAGAATAGATGTAGAAGATATAGCTTTGTTTTCACATATGAATGAAATGGAATAAAAAGTTGAGAATTAATGGAGAATGTCGAGAAAAATTCTACATAATGATTTGTTATGCTAAGAGTTGAGGGTATGTACCATTTAGTCCAATAAATATCTTTTAATTAATTGTCTAATATTTTCCTTTACATACATTAAATGGTTTAAAAATTATAATGGGTCAAATTTTATGTTTTACATATTTCTCGATACATTTTTTTTGGGAACTGAATTTATCTCAATTTTTTTTTTTGGTTAGAGTGAAAGAACACAATACGAGTAAAAGAATTCATGCGAAATGATAATATATATCATAAATAAATACTGGACGTTTGAGACATCATAAACATTATAGGACACACGTGAAGATATAATACAAAAGATTTATAGTATTGAATCTATGAGACAACCTCAAAAATAAGACATAAGATAATAAATTAAAAGCACATTTATTTATAGTACATTAAATTAACATATATTATAAGCTGCAGACGTGGTAAACACTGAGAAATTCATTATTCAAAATAGGAGAAAAAAGATCCAGCAAGTATTATCTTTTAATGATACTAGAATAATGTGGTTCAATATTTTTCGTTTTATATTTAGAGAATATTCAAGTGATTTAATATATCAAAATTAGTTATAGATTTTGAAAAGACCTTTGTAATTAGTATTTCTTTGACTATATTAGAGGGTTATATATCTGACCGATAAGGTACTAAGGTATGGGGACTATGATGCTGTTGTGAGGTATATTGATTGAAATATCCTACCTTATTAATATTTATTTAAAAAAATTCTGTATCGTAAAGCAGTATAAAGAATATTTAAAAGAATATTGCAGTACCGTCTTTATGACTCAGGCTAAACACAATTACTTCCCAATGAATTCCCAATGTGTTCAGCTAAATGTCGGCTATTTTTAGCATAAATCGCTTAATATTCATTGAAAGTGCTTAAACTGTCAAAATATATTATCAAAATATTAAGGATCTTTTGACAGAATCGGATCCCTCAATTGTATTCGCTTTAGCTATATGATTAAAAAATTTTTGATATGAGAGATATGAGGTTTACAAATCAGAAAAAGTAAGATACTTTCCAGACTTATAATTTTATATATAGGTAACGTGAATGGACTACCAACATCATGCAATTTGTCTCTACTGGACTCATATTTTTTAGGCTCACAAGAGAAAGGTGAAAGAGACCTCAGAAGGGTGCGATGTACGGGAGAAATAGGTGTGAAGGAGAGGCTGGAAAGAGAGGCGAAATCGAGTGAGAGGCTTGAGTTAGGGGTCAGTGAAAGACAAGAAAGAGATAAAAGAAAAACTTTACCTTTGAGTCGACAAGTTATTTAGAGTTATTTTAAAAATTAAATGAATAACTTCAATTCAGCATTCTAAGGTGCCATATGAACACTGCAAGTAAGCAGTGATTTGAATGCTGCTGTAATATACGCCTATAGTATATACAATATATACTATATATAATACAGTATATACAAACAAAAAATGTATTAAAAACTATTGTTTTTATTAAGTGTTTTTATATACGTATAAATATTACCTATATGTATGTATAACATAATATTAATATGTTAATGAATATCATATCATGATGTAAATATTTTATATATGAAATAATACTGTTTGATTTTTTGGAAATTATGTTTTAGTATGCGTTTTAAAGCAATAGTCTCTGGTACGTCCGTAGTAATACAATAATGTAAATTTGAGAGCATAAATAAGGGTAAGGGCGCTAATTATTTTCGGCAAATCTCATGATCACATCAATTTAACTGTTGCAGATCTTCTGCGCAACTAGTCAACGTTGTAAAAATTTTGTTACAAAAACAATTATTGCAAAATTTAAACATAGTTTTTTCAGATATTAGTTTTGTAAATATAATTTTATAAACTGGACGACTAATTTTAAAAAAAATTCGATTCACTTTGTCTCTAAGATTCAATGTATTCAATATTGTTGAATAGGAAAGAGTATTTATGAATATAATTCGGGTTGGTAAACGAAGTTCGCAGGAAACAGAAAGATAGTTAAGTGTTGATATACTATACATCTTAACTATTTTTTTGAGTATATCATGTATTTTAGACATATATATTGTATTAGTAGATGAGCTAATATGAAACCTTTCGATGAGCTGTCGAAACAAATCAACAATGGCAGTTTTATAAATGTTGATCCCTAAATATTCCTAAATACATTGTTAAAAAAAAAATTAATACAATTTAATGTGATTAATAGGCAAAGAGAGTGAGAGGGCTGTAAATTACAAAATTGATTTTTTTGAATATAAAATTTAATTAGTAACATAAACCATTGCACTCAAACTTAAAATATTTGCGTTTAATAAATAATCTTATCTCCAATTCACATGCATTTTATCAGATATGTACTTCTGTTAAAAGTGCTAGATAGTTTGTGATAGAATATTGAATATCGCAAAGGTGTATATAAATCAAACCCGCGAAACTCCACAATTTATAACTAACCTAAAATTTTCATTTCCAGCGTTAAGAATATATTTAATTTTCTCAACTATAAGCTTTTCAAATCATTTGTTGAATCAATTATAATTTATTATAATTCATTCTTTTATTTTTGCACAAATTTAGTTGAATATAATAACAAAAAAGTTTCTCATTGAACATAAGCAATTTTACTTATATGCTTTCAAATCCACTAGTTTTATTAAGCGAACATAATAATTAAAAATGATAATGGTTCCATGTTTCTTTTATTATTGTTTGTTTGGAACTCATCAATAAGAGCGCATATATATAATTTATAAAAATTTTTAAGTTCCTTTAATTGCAATAAATAATTTTTAAAAACTATAATATTTTCAAATTAAGTCTTCAAAATAGCCACTGTGTAAATATTTTGGAAGCAATTGATGAAGTTCATCCAGAAACCCCTGATCATAGTATAATGTCTTGCGATATTCTCCTGAACTCATAACCTTATCGACATCCATAACCTTCTTAAGTAGTTCGTACCGCATTGGCAAAAATGTAACCAATAGCATTAATTCTATAAGAAAAAGAAATATTAAGATTATTGAAAATATTTACTTAACAAAATAAAATATACCAAAATGTTTGTGTTTCAAAAACATTGCCCTGATTTCGCTCAATTTAGGTACCACCCCATCAAACCCAATTTTGTTTAGTATTGTCCTGAATTGACTGTGGTACAGATAGAGTAATTCATCGAAATGCTGTAAGCGTTGCTCCTTCGAGCTCATCATATAAAATGCATAGTATAAATCATTCACAATGGGTCCAACATAGCTAAGCTGAAAATCCAGGAAAAGTCCATCTTCAAGTTGTTTATTCAAAGGATTATTTCTGAACATTAAATTTTTAAAATGAAAATCTCCATGACAGAGCACATATATTCCACTACTCTGCGGACTTTTGCGAAATTCATCAAATGTTTGACGACATTTGTCAAAAACATCTCTTTGAAGTACTTCAAAATATGGTTTATATTCACGCAGTGTTGGTATGTCATTTAGCAATTCTACAAAGAATTTTATACCATCTGTCATGAATTCATTTCCGCATATTGCTGGTTCATTCATTAAGCCATATTGCAAACCATCAAATAGTTGTGGTTCCTGAAAAAAATCATTCAGTTAACATCTTTTCGGAACAAAAGTTCTTCTTTACTGCAGACCTTAATGTTTTGTGAGTAACTCATTGCATGGAACACTCCTAACTTCCGCATAATTTCTCTCATTTCATCCATGTTGACATCGCGATCGCGAAGCACTGCATATCCAAGTGGCACAAGGTCCTCAAAGACTATGCACTTCTTGGGATATAAACTGTGATACAAACAGCTTGAAAAAAAAACATAGGTTATTAATCAATGGATCAATAACAATAATCAAATTTTTAATATTAAGGCTAATAATTAATTAATTATCTTTTTTAAGTAATATTTTTTAAATCATTGTGTAAAAACTTACGCATAAATAGTGATTATACAATATTTAACTAAAGAAATTTACTGTCTAATATTCCATAGGGCTATTAAAGTTTGGAGCAAGTGGAGTAAAGTAAATCCAAATTTGTATCATATATTTCCAAAAACTGGAAGCAGATGTAGAATAGCGTCATGCATAACGATCTGGATGGCCTATGATATTAAGGAATTTGTTCTGTTCTGCTTATTATATGATGAAGAATATTAATGACTTTATATGGAAAATATTATATGACAATATTGCCTGTAGAAATGTATATTTAATTTACCACCAGAAGAGTTACCAGAAGCGGACAAGTTAGTAACTGCTCCAGCCGTATGATATAGCCTAAAATATAACTGCAGGTCCAGAATGATACTTTTGAGATGTTTTTTTTGGTAATGGTCATTTTAACGAAATCAGTTTTTGTCTTTATTGATTTGCATTAATATTCCTGACACAGAAATATTTGCTCAAACTGGGTTTCTTTGTTTCAATTTCAGATTCCTAACCTGTTATAACGGCTATCTGTACTAAGTCATTTCATAGTATGCATCGGTGATTATTATTGCAAATTATATTATTTTGTAGAAATAAAGATACTTTCAACCTTTAGCACTTTGCAACAAGCTTAGACATCAGGCGAAATAGTCAAGTTAAGGATCCATCCTATTATTTGCACCTTATTATATTAGTAAATAGTTTAGTCTTTGAGCAATATATCATTGCAATATGGATGTGTACAGTTTTGTGGAGTGTTAGATGATATCTAACATTGATTGCAAAAAATTTGATACCAGTCACGAGAGAGATGTTATAAGATCAAAACAAGAAAACAGATCGATTATTTGAATAATTACTAGATATTTTTTCAAGTGCAACAGTGGTTTGGAGCTATTTTCTACGGATTAAGTACAAATATTTTATTTCTTTGCAAAGTAAAAAAAATCTATTTTAAATTAAACAAAAGTATCATGGATTATTTATAAAAGCGAAATGCAACAGACTTCAATACAAAATACTGTTAAAAATATAATAAATTATTAACTTAACACTACCACTACATCAAAGGTCAATGAACTTTATTGTTTTTTTTTTAGTCAAATTGAATACACAGCGTCAATAGCACTCTATTACTTACTTCGGTCCAATTTTCGTGTTGTCTCCAATGGAGCGTAATATACTCTCAAACCTTGGCAAAATTTTGGTGTAGACAGCTATTTCAGTTTCAAAGATATGTGTTTCTGTTAACATATCTTTCTTTAGTCCTTCTAATTCAGGCATAGTTTTTATAATTAAAGATTTTGTTTTATGCAAATCATGTGATTTATAGTCCACGTTAGCTCTGAACATGACACTGGCATAATGGTCTCCTTTCATAGTACCCGGTGTGAGCTTAAAATTGATTATTTCTACATCCACATTTTCACAATTCTGTAGCACATTTCTTAAAAACTCGTTATTTAACCATTCTGGAGCTACGAGTTCATCTTCATTAAAATTTTCGAGAGTGGGTGACATTATACTAAACAATTGTTTAAAAAGTAGCTTTGCAAAATTATTTTGCGTATAGTTGGTAATCAATCCAAAGTCTTTTAAGTACTAATTAATTTAAAACAAATAATTTCTTTTTAACTTAAATGCATTATCGAAGCTCACTGATAAATTGCCAAATCTTTTAACGATCAGTGGACGAAACAACTCTTTATCTGTTTTTATTTACAAAAGTTATGAAATATATAATTTATTGTGTATATATATATATATACACGTTTATATATAATACATATAAAACGAAATGGCTTAACATGTTATCTCAAAACAGGGGTTCTTAAACTGCGTAATGTTATTATCTAACGAACGCCATATCAAAAAATTGGTCCAAAAAATATATTCAGTTTGTTTTGGGAATGAATGGGTTGAGTAGAGAAATATTGCAGTATTTGAAAATTAGATATTATATTTGCTGTATGTATATGAGTGGATTATGTGTTCTCTTCATGGTACTTAATTAAATATGCGGTATAGAGATTTTAGGGTTATATGTTGTAATTTAGCGTACAAAGCTTTTCCTCAGGACCATGCAGTTTCTGCTAAAAATTTTTAATGAAAAAGATTTCTATAAGACTTTTATGTATAAAAAATCGAAATACTACCTGTTATATGTGTCAAACTTAAAATTATTTCTTTTATTGTAGTTGCAGAACTAAACATTAGTAAAACGATGTGATCTTATCACATGCTTCAATAAGACTGATTTGATAACAACTATATAAGTTGACTTAAAAAAATTTTGGTAAGTAAAAATTTAGCTTTTTTTAACTTAAAAGTGCTTACAAAATAAACAGTTTTTTTTGTTAATATCTTACTAAATCAAAAAAAATGAAATGAGAAAAAAGTTTGGGAACCAATGTTCTAAAACATAAAATAATAGTGTTTATTATTTTATGGCTATCAATTATTACGTTCAGAATACATATTTGAGATTATAAAATTATTTATGAGAAACAGCTGATTGCAATTTACCAATACTGAACACTGAATAAACAATAATAATATTGATATAATTAATTTAGCTCAATAAAACAATATTGATTACACTCACACAAAAATATTGGTACACAATTGCAATCATATATAATTCAAATGTATTCTGTCATAAGTTATGAGCAGATGAGTACAACTATCATTAAAACCATTTATTTATAATGAAATTAATAAAATAATTTATTTTTGTTTAAATGTGTTATTAAAGTCGTAAGGTTCCAAAAAACAAAACAAAAATTCATTTAACTTGTAAGTAGCTTAAAAATACTATAAAGCAAATTATTTAAGGTACGTAAGTTTATATTATTAACCAACTTAAGACTTTGCATTTTAGGTATATTTGTATATAAAATAAATTCAATTACTTTACTCTGATATACTCAATAACACTGTTTGGGAGCAGTTATGCTCTACTATCAAAAAGTTTTTGTTATAAAAACAATTATCTGCTCTGAATGCAGAAATAGCTTTATTTTCGGCAACAGTATGTAGAAATAGTAGTAGGTACTACCAGAAGTAATAATTCCATTACAATAGTAACACACAATAGTCGTTAGGAAGTCCACAAGAAACGAAACAACCATAAACGCAACCAGCTGATTAAGTAAGTAGTATACAGGGTCACAACAGTTAGCAGAATGTTACAAAATGCCAGTCATTAAATTTTTATTGTCAAGTGATAGCAATAATTGATTTATTGTTCCCGAAAAATAATAGTTGACAAAATCCTCTTTATATGATGTGTGTATCTGAAATATCACTAGGCTTTGCCTAATTATATTTCAGTTTTACTAAGCTGAACTGTAAAATTGTTAATGCAATATAATAATTTTTAATAAATTCATTCAAAAAATCGAAAAATTAAGATCTAAGTTATTATATATGTTATCTATGTCATTTATAGATCAGTCAAAAAATTTCTTCAAAGCATCATCAATTTCGTAAAATTGGGTTTTGACTTACAATTCACTTTTAAACTAAAATTATTGCCATCGCATACAATATAACCCAGTTCTAACGATGATGTGCTGAATGACGATTTTAAAGAATACATTTTCCAATTTCTTTTTAGAAAAATATTTTTATAAGGTCTTAAAATATATTATAGGAACACATGATTTATACAACAATAAAATTATTTATCTCTAGTAAATCATTAATTGCACTTTATTTAATTTACATCAAATCCTCAAAATATCCATTGTGTAAGTATTTTGGTAATAATTGATGTAGTTCATCCAAGAACTCTTTATTCATATACAAAGATTTGCGAGACTCCCTCGATCGCATAATTTTTTCTATGTCTATATCTTTACTAAGGAATTCGTAACGCATCGCTAAAAAGCTGGACAGCAAAAATAGTTCTGAAATAAAATTAAGTCATTACAAAAATTGATATGTTTGAAAAAGAACAAAATACCGTAATGTTTGTGTTTTAAAAACATTGCTCTAATTTCTCTTAATGTAGGCACCTCCCCGTCAAAATCAGTTTTATTTAATATTGACTTGAAATGACTATGGTACAGATAGAGAAGTTCATCAAAATGGTGTAAGCGTTGCTCTCTAGAGCACATCATAAATAAAGAATAATACAAATCATTTACTATTGGTCCAAGATAAGAAATCTGAAAATCTAGAAAGAGTATGTCCTCAAGTTTTTTGTTAATGGGGTTATTCCTGAACATTAAGTTTTTAAAATGAAAGTCTCCATGACAAAGTCCATATATTCCGTTACTCTGTGGATTTTCTCGAAACTCATTAAATGATTGACCACATTTTTGAAAGACATCTTTTTGAAAAACTTGAAAATATGGCTTATATTTGCGCAGAGTTGGCACTTCATTCAGTACTTCTATGAAAATTTTTATACCATCTGTCAAGAAACTGTTTTCAGCGATTGAAGGATCATTCATAAAACCGTATTGTAGGCTATCAAAGATTTGTGGTTCCTAAAAAAAAATGTGTTTATGAAGTCTATTATTTTAATACCATATTAAGTACAAACCTTTTTATTTAAATAGTAACTAATTGCATGGAAAACTGCCAATTTCCGCATGACTTCTTTTATTTCGTCCATTTTGAGGTCGCGATCTCTTTGTACGGTGTATCCAAGTGGCACCAGATCTTCCAAAACAATGCATTTTCTAGGTTGTAGACTATAATACAAACAGCTAAAAAAAAAGTTCTACATTAGAAACCAGTATATGACCTGTATGTGTGAGTGGAAAAAATCGATTTGGTGTTTTTAGTAGACCTTAATCGAGTTCCTTCAGAAATTCAGAAAAACAGAAATGTAAATACATTTCATGTTATTGATTTTATAATTGATGAAATGTAGTAATGGAATGTTAACCAGTGTTTGAAAGAAAATGTACATACATTATACGGATTCCGGAATTTATTTTACCAATATAGATTAGCTAATAAAATAATTTAAAAATTGTTCTTATACAACTGTCTTGATGTTTATAAAAAACCTTTATCTAATATTAGTCAATCCCCAATTCACAATTTTCCGAAACATGCAAATCGGTAGTTTTGTTTTATTCTCTATGTTAGTGTGAATTATTTTCCTGATCATAAAATATACGTTAGTTTTATAGTTCAAAAAAGAATTCACAACTGGTTATTTAATATTAGACAGCAGATTATTATCAAAGTAAAGTTTATTTAAGTTATAAACAAAAATAAAACCAATTAAACCAAATCGGATATTAAGTTTAGATGAACAATTTGCATTAAGATATTATGACACATCACTGGTTTGTTGTCATTACATATAGTTTTCAAAATTCAATTAATCAAAAATAAATTAGAATTTTTGTTTTTGCAATTTACTACTGTTCGACACCTCTCTATGTAATACAATTTCTATTAAGTAAAACAGTCACTGTCGTCATAACCGACGTTAGAACCAAATTTAATATATGTACTTTTCTTAAAAACTCACAAAATTGATCGGAAATATTTTAGTTAAACTTACTTAGGTCCAATTTTTGTATCATCTCCAATAGAACGTAGAACACTCTCCAATTTTGGTAAGATTTCTGTGTACATTTTTATTTCAGTTTCAAAGATATGTGAATTCTCCAGCATTTCCTTTTTAAGCCCCTGAGCTTCAGGCATTGTTTTGATAATTACTGATTTTGAATATCGTGAATGTCTAAGCTTATAATCCACATGAGCTCTGAACATGACACTGGCAAAATGGTCGCCTTTTACAGTGCCTGGAGTAAGTTTAAAATTGGTTACCTTCACGTCTTTATTTTTTTCATAACTCTGTATTACTTCTTTTAGAAAATCGTTATTTAACCATTTCGGCGCAACGAGTTCATCGTCGTTAAAATTTTCTGTTGCTGGCATTATGAGGACTAAACTTTTGTGTTTAAACGACAATCTCAAGGACACCGCGAAATTAATATATATAATAATAAGTTACTGCTTGACCGAGTAACGCTGAAATACTAGTAAATTCTAAGTAAATGTTTGATATTTTATATTCCTTTCTTATCTGAATAAGTTGGAATTTACCAAAGATAATCGATTGATAGTGCGATTTTTTTAACTAGTACTCGTAATTGAGCACTGGCACAAGCTAATATCACAAAACTATCTGAAAAAGTTATTAAACTTGTTGTTTTAAAATGACAAGTAAAATTATTTGATTTAAAAATTCGTCACACTTCTCATTCATAAGCGCGCAATTGATATAATGAATATTTAGTTAATATAACATATACTTTTACAATATCAGATATATATACTTGTTGATAAGCAAACAGCTGACGATAATTGAAATTAAAAAAAATAAAAATAAAAAAAAAATATTATCACTCCATAGCAAAATATGCTCAGTTGTGCTCAAATCAATATATTTGATAAAATCCTTAAATGTTCTATTCAGATATATATAGTAAAAATTTTATTTTTGATATGAATACTTTATCTGATTTTTATTGAAACACCTTTTAAGCAAATAAAGTTGTTAAGTTTGGTTTTGCGATAGCCATCTACATAGAATTTTAAATCTATATTGGGGTTTTATTTATTAATATATTAATACATAGTCGTATTTATATATCATTGTAACATATATGTATATCATTTAATTAATAAAAATACTGATAAGAGCTGCTGAATAAGATGAATCTAAAGTATCAGTTTGTGAGAAAACTATATCTACATCTCTGCCGATTGACCTCATTCTTACCACGATTATTTCCTTCCATATTAGATTTAGTTATCTAAATTAAATTATTAAAGATAAGATAAAAGTTATCTTAATAAATAAATATAATAAAAAATAAAAGTATTTAGTAAAAGAAATATATATTCCTTTATCGCCAATTTATATGAGAGCTTTTTAGAATATAAAATGAAAAAACTTATGGTTTAGTTTATATATTTAGTTTATATGGGATGTATTAGTCCAAATTTTGTAACAAGTTATTAACACTTTTCGAAATTATTCCACACTTACGTTCAGAGGCAGTACATAAATTCGTGTTACAAATAGCACAAGTTTTAATATGTTTTATATATATAACACTCTGACAATTACATATTTATTTAGAAACTCTAGAATGCAAAGTATTTAGTGATATGATTATAAATTTCAGACTGTAGATATAATGTATTTTATTATCATATTTAATAAATTGCAGAAACGACTTTTCTCAAAGTTAATAATTTTAGAAGACAGAACTACTTTCTCTTCGATTATGGAGATTATTAAGTAAGAGCATTACGTGTTAGATGTATATTTCATGGTATATACAAGAATCTAGTTTATTATTTTTTAAAGACTAAGTTTATAACAGATATCTTATAATAGACAAGGACCACCGGTGTTAATTTAATTATTCTAACTTGTGTTAGTCACAATGCTTCCCGTTTTGAACGACATATGTTATATGTTAGTACAATGTAACCGAAGTTTTTGGTGGGATTCGACTGTCCACCAAAACTTGTAGCAGCTTTTAATGAAGTAGCTTTTAGTCTTAAAGCAGATGAAGCTGCCATTTGTTTACTAATAATATCCATTGGTAGTAACTGAAGCATCAAGTCTAGTGCAATGGATGGTGTGGTGCATAGCGCCCCGCTAATACAGAGTTCAGCTCTACGCTGAATCCTGTTAAGTACCGAACAGTACGAAGATTTATCAAGAGCTGTCCACCATACCGTAATACCATACAGCAATATGGGCCTAATAACAGCTATATATAGCCATTGTGTGATGCGAGGTTGAAGACCACACTTCATCAAATAAATAACTGCAAGTTTTTTCTTTACACTAGAAACAAGCAATATAATATAGTAAGCAATTCATAGTACTAATCAGTTTAGTACTAGATTCATACCAGAGTTTCCGTTGTAATTTTAGCTTTTATTTCCAATCATTCTTGATTTCAATAGTAAAACAAATATCAACAGCAAAACAAAATGCAATTGAGTCGTAATTTCTAAAAAATCAAGTTGATCATGAACTTGGACAGTTCACCGTAGTACAGTAATGTGCAGTACAAACTAACCTATTGTGAATAGTTTTGTGCAATGAATGATATTTTTATACAAAATGAAACAAAACTGATATTTATCATATGTATATGGGTCATTCTTTTACAAACCGGACGGATTTTGGCAAAAAAATGACCTCATCACCTCCGATTTGGCTGAAATTTTTTTTATGAGCTCCTTTCATAAAATAAGAAGTAAGAACACGTATCTCGGGAAAAAATTTTGTAATTTTTTTCCTAGGAGATATGGACCCATGGGGTTTTGAGAATTGGCATTGTAGACACAATTTCAAATGGCTATATCTCAAGTTCTATAAAAGGTAGAAACTTGAAATTTATTGCGTTTTAAAGATAATTGGTTGAGCTTTTAAGAAATTGTTTAAACAATTAAGATTGTTTATATTTAAGTACTAATATTAACCGTTAAATTTCAAAAAAAAAGATATCTCAAAAGGGTACACAACATTTTTCATTTTTTATATTTTATTTAGATTCAGTTTTAAATTTTACTAAGAAATAAAAATTTTCATGATAGCATCGATTTTTATAAATTTTTTAAATTTTTTTTTTCTCATAAAACACATCAAACACATGCGTGCTATATTTACATTGAATGAATTTTCAAAAAATATACTACAAATATTCTTATATAATATTCTTGATTTCAATTAGTAATAAAATTGTACATAAAACTCAAAAATTTCAGGACGATATTGTCGTTGGAACTACTTTTAAAAAATTTATTTATCCTTCACATCACTCCAAACACATACACACGATTTTTCAGTAAAAAAAAACAGAGGAATACGTCACACAAATTTTTCATTTTTACTTTTAATTCCGATTAAACAATAAATTCTTCTTCGAAAATAAATATTTCCAGTGTGATATTGCTTCCAGAAGTAATTTAAAAAAATTAATTTATCAGGTGTCCTTCATGTTACTCATACGCACCATAATACCCTTGAATCAATTTTCCAAGAAAAGTGACACAATATTCACATTTCAAATTAGTTCCGCATCATCTCTATTTTTAAATTATAAATTTTAACATAATTAAACCGTTTTATGAACTTTTTCTTATATTGATCAGTTTAAAAATTAATTAGTTCCACACTAGCTGAACTACCTGTATAACTGCAGCACATAATTACACAGTTGAAAAAATTCTTTAAGCAGGTACGAATTGTTATAGGAAATAAACTGTAAACAATTCTATATGGAGATAAACTGTAAAGAACTATAAACAAAATATTTTTTTTAAGTTTTTGTATTGATTTTATTAATAATCATTTCATTATTGATACATAATCTGTAATGTCTGCAGAAGAAAATATTTTTGCCATTAATATCGTTTTCGAATTAGGAATAAAGCAGTGATATTTTAATGTGCCTTTAACTGATGTAGCTGCTTCGAAACGGTGTTTAATCTTATTTTCTTCAGCTTCATAGTCTTTTGATGTTGAGAAATGGCACCGGGACAACATAAAGAATTCCTTTTTCTGAAGCAAGTTTTTTAGCTACAGTAATCATATGCTTTGTAGCGTTTGGAAAGTGAGTTGTGATTCTTCGAAAAGACCAATTATGTACCACACTCAATATTTTTATTTTCATCGTCCTATCTGCTGTGCCATTGAATTTTTCCTGTAGATTTTTTAAAATTGATGCAAGGTCATCTTCT